TGACATTTTATCTGGAAATAATAGCGGTACAACTCTTGCAAAAAAGCTCCTGATTAGAGCAATAAATCTACAGTGGTTTGAAAGCACCTGATAAGGGTATAGAAGTACTGTATATATGCTATTTGTGTGAGTGAATATATAGTACAGCAATTAGTCATGAAGCCCTGAGGTCAGTCACTTGAAATCTTTAACATGTCCAAAGCTATCGCTCATCAAAACGCTTCAGTATTACATCCGTCTCACAGATAGCGACAGACATCTGTGAGACACTGTGTGGAGATGATAAACCGGTACATAACGCACAAACACACATGAAATGAGTCTGACTAATTTCACGTTATCTTTTTGTAATAATTTACACGCAGTTAACGTTTGGGCAACATTTTTTCTTCCTGACGAATCCAAATGAAAGGCAAATATTTCTGACCTAATGGCTCCACAGTATTCCCTTCTTTATCATTAACATCTTGTTTTCTCACTTCTACATATTATGTCTAGATGTATGAGCATTAATGGAAGATATCAGACTTAATTCAAAAGTAAAAAAACACAAAACACTCACATGTTTGTAGTTTGTAGTTTTTTAAGGCTTTAAATGCCAAACAGATGTCAAGATTTCCAGCTTTAAGGGGCTTAGCCATACTTTTTTCTCCAAAATAGCAATCTATTGAGAGTGACTGGGATGTTTTATTATTATTTATTAACAGATAAAATTAACACCTTGCAATAGACTGGTAACCTGCCCAGGATATACCTCATTTTTTACCCTCTGACATCTGAGACAGACTCCACGCTGCAACCATAAACTAGATAAGTCGAATATATTAGAAAAAAAGTCTATTGTCCATCTATTAATGGTCTTGAAACGTGTTCAGAAACTCACACTAATAGATGTAGTGTTGATACACAGTGACCCATAACAATCACTTAGATAGTTACTGCACAGGGATAATGATAGAGAGCTGGACTTTTTTTTTTTTCAGCATTAACATCTCTGCAGTAATTGATTATTTAAATAGGAGCAGGCTGACACAATTAAGAGCTCCAGTCAAACCTCAAATGATTGAATCTTATTGTTTTTAAAATGTGCATAAAATGGAAACGGAGATTTTTAATTAATCTGTATAGAAATTAATTCTTCATTCCCTAAAGAGTTAAAATGAAAAATTCTGTCCTTACCCTTGCATAATAGAAAAAACCCCTCTATGAAACACAAGTGCTCGTCAGTAGCAAGAGTTGCTTTGCATTTCCTGTGTAAATTATGCAAAATGCACAATTTGTGTTATTAAAACAAAACCCATCTAATGGTCCAATTTACTTTCATTGTTTCAGCTCGGAGAGTGTTGCCATTTAATGCAGCACGGTGGCAGACTGCTTCTACAATGTCTACGTCTGTATTTTGTGTCGACATTATGATACACTTCAAGTGAATGGCAAACTACACAACAAATCTGTGGATATCAAATATTGTAATCAAAGACACAACAGAAGAGCCGGCTAAGATTCAGAGTGTTACTTCGGGGTGAACAATGCTACAACATTCAGTGGCTTTTTCTCACACACACAGGCAAGAGTAACGGTGACAACAATGCTTTGGATTAGTGAAAAAGATTAATAAGAAATCACAATCTCGAGTGTCAGTAAGAGTGTGATTATGGACATACACTCACAGTAATTTGTAAACAAAATATACACAGACATACAGTACTGCACTTTCTCTAAATCTACAGTGGAAGTAGAATTCTCTGTTTTGGTTACAGTCATTAAATTTCATTCATATATCATTGGTGTATTTTCTTTTAATACAATCTATTTCATGTATCTACTAATATTTACAAAATTCATCTGTGAGAGCAGAGAATCGTTTATTTTTTCAATTTGAAATCAAAACTAAAATGATTATTTAATATGTGTGTTGCTGACTTTATAGCTCTCCTCAAAGTGCAAGAGTGTGACGGGGGTGGGACCAATTCGCTCAGCAACTTTGCTTTACCAGCATAAAGACTGTCATCATACCAGTATATGAATACACACTTTGAACCATGCTGATGGGGCAAGCACGCGCCGACACCTTTCACTTACAGTCTTCATAACATGTTCCAGCACAACAATAAAGTGTTGACCTTGTTAAAGCTACAGACAGCAGTGTTATAGCCTGGGGGGGGGTGATTTTGGCTCATTTACTGATTGACAGTTGAACATATTGAAACAACATAAAATCCTTTTCAAATTTTGGTTATTTGTCCACAACAGAATGATTCTTTGTTTGCAAATGAACCCGTATAACAGCATCAAAGTGGTGCTTGAACTTTACTTGTTAGTCTTTTGTAACGGCGTGTATGCCTTTACACCAATGTAAGTAAGTCAAGTAAGTGTCTTGTAAGTACAATCTGTTGTACAAATCAAACGGCATCTTCACTGTTACTTTGTATTGAATGTAGACTGTATTTCCCTCACTTTTGCTTTCTGGTCTTTAGGAAAAAAAAGTTTGAAACAAAGTTTTCAGGGGCTTTAAGAAAGTTTCTTTCTGTCGTGTCTAAACTCTTTAGCGTGGGATGTTGTGAACTGGTGGCGTACTGCAAATCGTTTAGCACATTTAGCCTGATGACTAATCACTATTGTCTAGAATTTTCAACAGTTATTAACTGTATGTGTCTTTTTGTTCGAGGCAGGTCAGCTTTCTTTATATTTAGTTTTCCGCTCCAAAGTAAGAAGCTTCATGGTGTTTGGTTTAACACATTCCTCTCATATCAACCGATGGGATACACGATCAGGTTAGCATAAAGGTGTAATTCAGGTGTAAGAGCGCTATAAAACACATTTATAGAGCAGGTTGTTAGAAACAGGCAAAACCTGCAAAGGGAGACATTTTTTTGGTTTGTATTGTGCTATGTAAAGTTGGGAAAAACCTTTTGGAAATGACAAAGATTAGGAACACACTTCTAGTCGGTCATTCTGATGAAAAATTCGTTTTCAGCAGCTCGGTTTACCGTTGTGTGATTTGTGAGGGCAGAGAGTCATTCACTGACAGATTTAAATTTTGGGACGTGCATTTTTCAAAAATGTGCTGAGAAATAATGTTTGGTGAAATGTGCCAAAAACAACTGAGAAAATATAATAATATATAATTTGTTCAAACATTTGTTTTGTTAAGACGTTTTATAAGCCACCAGTGATTTCGTTTTTACTTTCTGGACCTAAACGCTGCCAAGGAATGTTACCCAAATCCCTGTCCATTGGCCAAGATTATACTCATTGCCTAGCAACACTGGCTCATTTAATCGAGGAGATTTGAACATGTTCTTCCTTGCAAAGCTAAGTACACTAAAGTGTAATGAATCACATGATTATGACGACTTTCCTGCCAAAAAAAGTGTTCTTGGTACAAAAACGGGACGCAGATGTGACAGCATTTGTTGTTAGAGTTGTTGTTAAAGACCCTGAATGCCTGTTTATTAACTAGTCTATTAATTGCTTCTTTTGTATAGGTCACATATATATATATATGTGTACCAATCAAGATTGGGTAATATTTGGTAACAGTTGTGGAGTTGTTAATTTCTGTGGTCAAATAAAATCAACACCTACACACACAGTTAACCTGAGTTCAAGAAGCAAACTCTTTGATAAACAAAACAAAACCTAGGAATGTTTTCCTAGCTTTAACTTTATTGCCGTTTATTTCATATTACTTATTACAATTAAAAAAAACTGGAAGCAGGAACTTTTTAAAGACTTTTTTTGGTCTTTTCTGGGAGGCTGTGGAGCTGTGGCACACTGCTGGGTGTGGCTTTATAGCGACTGACAGTCTTTCTCTCATAGGTACAATATGCAGCAACACAACACATCTGGGTCACAAAAGCCATACATTTACATCCTCTGGCTCAATGTCGCACACACAAACGGCAGTTTCCACTTACTAAATACACACGTACAAATTTTCAAAACTCACCTGGAGCAGAAATCATTTTCACACCGAACAAGTAAACATCACAATCGAGATTCTTATCGCATGCAGCGTGTGAACACACCTTATTCCTGGTTTACTAAGACTTTGTTACAGGTGTTTTTTGCAGAGTGTAAATATTGAGCTACATGTAGCCTTTCAGCCTGACGGTTATGGGGTTTGGACACTTTGTGCAGAAGTTTCATTCAGGCTTGTATAAATAATTTAACTCGTTAAAACTTGAAGCTGACATCATTTAGGAGTGAAATCTTCTTGCTTTTCCTGGTCCATCATTCAGCTCTGCTTGTGAAAAAGCTCCTGTTGACAAATCCTTAGTAAATCTGCGGGGTTAATGATTGCAGTCGAGTCTCATGGCTCACGATTATTGTGTAGTATGCAGTTGTGTGTTAATGAATATTTACAGAGCCACAAAAACCACTATAGGAAGAGAGAAATTGGCTTGGCACTGCTTCAGTATTATCACATAGACACAGACTGCAAAGTCTGTAAGGTTGAGCGTGAATGTATGTGTGGGGGGGGGTTGTGTTAAGTGTTTTTGTTGTGAGCTCCTTCTGTCTTCATCAACCTCCTCCTTCTCTTTCTCACTGCGTGGGGGAGCAGTCGTCTAGATCAAGCAGCTCTCTGACCAGTCTCTCTCCAAACTGCGCTCGACTGTAGCGTTTGACTGTGTAGGCGTCAGACATCTTGTATAGGATGTATGCATTGTTGATGGCAATACTGATGCTCAACCAGAACACCTGCTGCCATGTCTTGTTAGGCTTGTGGAAGATGAAGTACCTGTGCGGAGAAATGAGCCGGTTACTGCTGAATCTCTTCGCAAAGATGTAAATAATATGGTTTCGTTTGACCATCTATAGTTATTGTCCAAAAACATATAGGCCCAACACATTTTTTCAATTTTGTCTCTGGGTTTTTAAATCAAACAATCAAGATGTGATCGAAGTGCAGACTTTTAGCTTTAATTAATTAATGTTAACTTTTTTTTTTTTTTTTTTACAGGAATTACAGTCATACATAGTCCTCCATTTTTTAGAGGCTTAAAATTAATTGGACGATTGACGGATATAGTTTTATGAACGGGTGAACACGTTTCTTCCAAGTGTTGAACTTGCACGTCGTTTTTTTAAATATGAGATCCAAAGCAATTTCAGTGCAAACAAGGGCCAAATCAGCAGGTTTAAAAAGAAGAAATGACCTGGATAGCTCAGTAACACCAAAAAAAGACCACAGAAGAAAACTAAAAAAGGACACAATCATAGAATTATTTCCGTAGTGGAAAAAAAACAACAACTTCACAACATCTAACCAAGTCAAGAAGACTCTTGAGAAGGTGGATGTATCGTTGTAAAAGTCTACAATCAACAGATAACTTAATGAATGAAAATACAGTGTTCACAACAAGGTGCAAACCACTGATTACAATCAAGAACAAGAAGGCCAAATAAGACTATACAGGAAAAGATCTAAAGTTTGCAAAGCTCTGAAAAAATATATTTGGACAAATGAAACCAAGAGAAAAGTATTGAGCAAGACAGAACAGCTCATGATCCAACCTCATCTGTCAAATATAGTGGAAGTAGGGTCGTGTATGGCTGCCAGTGAAACCAGGTCACTAGTGAGATGAGATCAGATTCAAATTCAGACAAATGGTGAAAAATTGATTGGACAGTGCTTCACAGTGAAAAGGAATAATGGCCCAGAGCATACTGCAAGAGCAACCCAGGAGTTTATCAAAGCAGAGAAGAAGGATATTCTTCAATGGCCAAGTCAGTTACCTGATCTCAATCCAATAGAGCACGCTTTTTACTTATTAAATTCAAAAGTGAAGGTAGAAAGACCTGAAGGTGGCTGCAGTTAAAGCCTGGCAGAGCATCTCATGGCAAGAAACTCAGCGTTTGATGAAATCCATGGGATGTAGACGTCAGGCAGTCATTGACTGCAAAGGAGTTTTATCCAAATAATAAAAACAATCACCACATTTGAAATAATTTCAGTCTGTCAGTCAAAGCCCCTAAATTAAAGCTGAAAGTTTGAAAACATCTTGATTGTTTGATTTAAAATCCACTGTGGTGTAAAATATTCTTGGTAACAAGTAATGTTGTGTAAAACGGCGCACATACTTGCTATACTTGTCGTCGTATTTGCAGATGTAGCTGAGGTGTGCCGCAAAGGCCTCAACAGCCAAAGGACACGGGATCTCCCCACTTTTCCTCTTAATGATCAGCCCTGACGCAAACACAGTGAGAGGCAAAAACTAGACCCATTTAAACTAATTACCGTATAATTATTGGCAGTACAAAAGTAAAATCCATCAATTAAGTACTATAAGCACAAAGTGAAAAACAGTCACCCACATATACACGCAGAGGGGAAAGGAAAATCAATGCCGGATGATAACAGCCTGACTTTTCCTGCTTCACTGCAACACTCTTCACTCAAAGAGCACAGACGCAAACTGCAACCTTCATTTAGAGTTAAAACCTAACAAAACAAGAGTGGATTATGCTATAAGAGGAAGGGAATATCATGATTTTTGGCACCTCCTGGAAATGGATTATCACGGATTAGAAGCTCGCACTGATTCTCCGTGACATAAATGCTTAATGATGTGCCAGTTTCTCTAGATGGTGACTTGCATCCACAAATGACAGTACAGTTAGCCAAAGTTTCCCCCCAAAAACTCCTAATTCTTAATAACGACAACCGAAAGTCTTTGCTTTTGTGTTTTTCTACTAAAATTAATGGATTTTGTGCACTGAAATATTAATCATTTCTAATAGTAAGCTCCTTTTATTTAATTCTAGGAAAAACGAAGTTTCCTGTAGTGGGGAAATGCTTTGGGAAATGATCTTCCTACCTTTTTTTGTTGGGGAATAGGCATTGGCAAGGAACCTAAAGTGTCCTTTGTTGTACCAGCTGATCAACGACATGCTGCCTTTCATCATTATGCGAGACTGGCCACGCTGAGCAGGTGTGGAGCCACAGACCAGCATGCTTTGCGGTAAGCCTGTACAGTCGCTCTTCCTGGTGCTAAGCAAACCACAGCAATAGATATCTGGAGAGGGACAGAGAGACAAATAGGATGATCGTGGCAAATAGCAAAAACTGCAGTTCCTAAAATGGCCACTTGAGGGTAAAACCACGCCATCAACTATTAACGAAGCGTTAACCCAGAAACATTTGCAGAACTGTGCTGCAGAAAACAAATACATTCTAATTTGAAAATGCAGTAGATATGATTCATTATCTTGTTCCTATAACTGGGCTGTACAAGGCAGGGACGAAATGCATTCAAGTTTGGATTTTATGTTCTCCCAGTCTTCAGGGTTGAAGCAGATGTGCTCCAGGCAACAGTCCCGTTTACATCTGACAAAGCTAATCACACCATTTCATACCAGTGACCGCCCCCCCCCCATCTGTCCAACCATCTGGAAATAGTACTCATGGGTGGTCTTAAAGGTGTAGGTGCGATCATCCTTCCACAATAAGTATGCAAAGTCTTTGAAACTGTCCTTTCCTGGACATTTGATTACTAAGAACCTGTAAATTAGGGTTGCTCTAAGGTTATCTCCCACGATACAGGTGCCAGAGCTTTTCCGCAAAACAGCTTAGGGAATATTGCAGTCATCATTTCTCCACTTTTGAGCTGTTTCCATGGTTATTTGAGGAAGGGTTGTTTTCCAAACTGCAAAGGTCACTAATGGCATTTCCACCTGCTTTCTGACTCCCGGAGAACTTGCAGTTTGAAGTCTCTTTTTGGTTTTCAACAAGGAGAATATACTGTCATGATAATATGGATAATGTTGCAGTAGAAATAAACATGTTTGCATTCTCTATGGATAATTTCCCCCATTCATAGCCAACGTCTGGAGGTGAATTTTTGTATAACCCACCCGTATATATTGTACTAAGGCTTAAAATGACTCATAATTAAGGGCGAACCACCTTGGGATGACATGTTGCTGCAGACACAGCTGGCAGCTATCTGCTTCGTGCCACCTCAATTTATTTTTACGGGACCTCTTCATTGTGTTGTGATATTCTTGCCTTTTGATGCATTTTGGACACAATTATCCGACAAACTGGCTTCTGAGCAGAGAATTGTTCTAATAGACAGTTTCTCAAAAGACTTCTGTTGTATGAAATGAATGCTTTTTTGCAGTCTTGATTGGACTAATCAAATCTGTCAGCTAGGGCTTTTGGGAAACTGCTATGGGCATTAGTCATTTTATCATACTACACTAAATTATTGAGTGATTCTTTAAGGGAAAAAAATGAGTCAACAATTAAAGTCAGGAGTGTAGTTGCAGTGATTTTTGTGTATCCCTTTCTTTCCTGAAACGTTCTCTTTTTTCCTTCCATCCAGCAGACACAAAACAATCATCTGGCTGACTGCCGCTGATTTGGTCTCCATTTGCAAACTGATTTCTATCTGTGTAGTACATGCACGCATGTCCACAGTAAGTACTGCGGAGTAATATGGAGTAATTACCTCAGCTAATTAATCCAGCAAGATAAATTTGAAGTAAAGATGTCAGACGATGCATTCACAGGCTCAGAACTGGGTTTTTTGGGCTGATTCAACTAATTAGAAAAAGAGAATGATGATTATATCTGCAGTCTTCATTTTCTTGACATAATGAAGCTCCACTTGGTTGAGTTTAAAATTTCCAATTATTCTTCAGCAAAAATCCCCAAAAAAAATGTAAAAATGAAGGAGGAGCTGTTGAGCTGAATGTTTATTCTCTGCTTGCATTGATTGTGTTTAGCTTTTATAGCATGTTCACATTATCCCACTTTCAGTATTAATGTAAAAGAAGCAAACAAAGTAAATGTATATTTTCATATTAAAATAAAAATGTATAATGAGCACAAATATCAGAGTATCACAGCTGGATTTACAGCATTAAAACGTTTAAATCCTAAAATCTCCAAAACAAAAGCATCGGTTTTATGACTCCCGCTGATGAACTGCCACAGATTATGAATAAAACATACTGAGAGTGACTCAAACACTTTTGATTCAGATTTTCATTGTCAGGTGTTTGAATGAAGTGTCCGGTAAAGTGTCTACTTTACCTGTCTATTGATTTTTCAAGCTCCAACAAGGCAAAACACTTAATCTTTCATGATTTACTATGCAAGTCAAAAGGCAATAAACACCCTTTTGCAGTGCATTGCAGACCTGTAAGGATCGATAAGCACTAGTAAAAAAAACATCCATCCTAACAGTCATGACAATTCGTTCAATTTTTTAATGCTACACTCACATTAGGAAAACCAGTTGGAGACTGGTACTATCAAACTTGGCCACTCGTAGTCATTTGCCACTTTCAAAGACACTTTGCTGTGTCTGCTTCAGTCTGCTATTGATTTGTCACAGAATTGCATCAAGTTGGCAAATACATGCAATCTTTTTATGATAATACAGGGATCAACTGTGTCAAATTGCCAAAAATCACAAATATGTTGCATATCTACCTACACAGAAATTCACACAAACTCATTAGTTGTTTACATTCAAAGTCCAGGCTGAACCTGGCTGGACGCAGTTGCTGCTAGACAGCAATTTAACTGCAAAGTCGCTCGCCAAACTTGTTTTTATCTAGCAAATACAACCAGCAACTATTTGAGTTGACATCTAGTCATGTTTCGAGCACACCTGCTCTTAATCAGATGATGGTCTGATGACCAACGTCACTAGATGCAATAAATAAGTAATCTGGAGTTCTTCAGTGTGTGAACTGTTATTTCTTCTTCTCTGTCACTTTTTTTTTTGGACTCAGCACCTGCCCAACAGGATGACGAGGGTGTGCGTGGATTCTTGGAGACGACGCAATCGCCTTATAATGTTCCACACTCAAAGGAAAACATGTGTTCTTTTAACTCAGATTAGTTAGCTTTAAAATACATAATTTGGGGGACTGACAAGTTTGGTGAAAGCACTGTTGGGGAGAGTAACAAAGGCATCTGTGTAATTTAGCAAGTTCACCCTCAGTATACGGATAAGAGGTGGAAAAAATAAATTATTCGACATGCATACTGTCTGGCTTTGTAGTTTTATCTTAGAATAGAATAGAGAATACTGCTGTCCTGTGCGCGCTGTTTCGCCTGGGGATGGTATAATCACACCATCATTAAAAATGAATAACCACATTTTTTAAAATGCAAAAAGGGGAGGTATGGAGAGATGGAGATAGATTACAAAGTGTACAATAAAGTAACAATTATGGAAGGGAAAAGAACAAGCAGCAGACATAATCTGCTGCAGAAACTTCTTTGCATACCTTGTTTGCTGAATTCTGTGAAGAGGCTGAGGCTCGTGATGGATGGCCCAGTGAAGATGATGGCATTTTTTCCGGAAATGTTCTGGCAGAGCTGCTTAGCCACAAGGCTGTGGAGCTGAGGTTTGTTCTTCAAGGTGGCCAGACCATCTGTACCCTGGCCGTCTTTCAGATGGACTGCGATCTGCAGAAGAGGGGGGGGATCAAGTCAGGACGTGTGGATGCAAACATTTTTACTTTTCTAGCTTACAGAGGCTGCTGTCTAAACCCTAGAGAAACTGTAATGTTCAATTTACAAAATTGTGTGGTGGAAAAAAGCATTTTGATGATCTTGGTTTAATTGCAGTAGAGACTTTGAATTAAAGTGTATCCTGAGGGAGAAAATACCATCGAACTGAAATAAAAATGTATTTGGACTCATAAAACATCGGGTTTCATTAAGATGGAGACTCCAGCATGAAATATCAACACTAAAGGCAATGCCAGTGGCATGAAATAATATTTGTTTGGTTTGATCTGTGAGTCAAGCTACTGTCACACCTGACTCTACAGTGGAGATTTGAGAAAGGAGGCTTGTTTTTCCAAGATGAGAATTACCCCTTTAAAGCCTGAAACATAAAATAATTGGCAGAAAATTTTAATTTTTGTGGATCAAAATTTCCCTAAATATCTCAGTTTCTGGATTTATTTTCATGATCACCCACTTCAAGCCATGAATACTTACATGAGTACTTCAAATCTGAGCAGTAGTTATTGAGACATGTTGAGCCACCACTCATTTATTTAATATACTGGTACGTCTTCCATATTTGTTTCTAAGGAGGAATTGAAGGAATTATGAAAAGAGAAAAATGCTTTCTCATTTTGACTGACCATATATCATCTGAATAGCAACAGCTTCATTTTTTGGCACGTTAATGAGATCAAACACACTGTCAATGCAGTAAATGCACACCTAGATTGAAAAACACAATGAAACATTATCAGTCATTAACTGGCCTCCCCAGATCCCGGACCTCAACATAACTGAAGCAGTGTCATCTTAAAAGAGAACGTAATAAAAGGCAGCCAACATCCAAAGACGTGCTTTGAATGTCCTTCAAGGAGCCTGGAGAACTATTCCTGATGACCACTTAAAGAAATTAGAAGAACTATATTGTATTTACCTGTATATTTGCACACGTTTCAATAAATCGCTGCACCTACTTCCCAATTTCCTCTGAAAATATAAAGAAACGAGGGGCAGCTCAAGAATTTTGTACAAACTATAGATCAATGCAAGCTGAGCTTTGCCTCCTAGTTTAACAAACATGAAGCATTTGTAGATATGATTCCCGGAACATGATACAGTCCTTAGGGCCCAAAGAAAGCTATTATCAAGACTGAACAAACAGAAATGTACACCCATAGATGGCTCTGTGTGCCTTTTGAACTTTCTACTATCGTTTGGGAGCTGATTGGCATTAGCCTGATTAGCCGGCATCTACGCAAGACCCATAGCTATTAAACTAAGTGGCCTGTCCATGCGTTTGTGTGTGTGTGTTTTGTGTATCCCTGTGTGGTACACTAGCTAATGGAATCTCATTGATTCGCTCCATTAACTCATTTTATTTCTCTGATTTTTTTCCCCCTCTCCCTCGACGCAATTCATTTAGACACAGAATTCAATGGAGACACACGTCAGTGTACAGAGGACTGGTGAACACTGAGTGACTGCCAAACGGCTGAAGTCACCGTGAATGCTAATGCTTATTTGTTAAATGGATGGGATAATGGAATACGGCTTTAAATGACAGGCTCTGTGATGCTTCTTGCACACAACTTGTTTTAAATGGTCAGATTACAAGAAAAATAATGAACGGTTTGATTATTTTTATTTTCTGTAAAGCAATTTAACTAAATGAAAAAGAAAAAAAAGAAGGGAAATTAACATTCTGTGTAGGATACTCCTCACTCCACTAATGCTATTCTGGCCTACTTCCAGGCTAAAGAAGGAAACACTTACCCTTTGGTGTACACAGTTGTATGCCAAATGTTGATCTCATCATAAAAAGTGTCTGACTCTCAAAGTTGTATTATTGTCTTCTTGTTCTTACAACCCAACTGTCCAAAAAGTCTGGTTCAATTTGTGCATGAGCAGAAAAATGTTGGCATGCTCTACTGCTAATCTCTGTGCATTCTGTTTCTGAAGTTGCACAAGTATTGGTCCAATCTTGTCTTGTCTCTCTCGTGAGTCTTTATGTTGTTCTTTCTGCTTCTGTATATTTTTCCCCTCTATTGAAAGTGTGAATTATGCAGCTGAGTTTTCTTCAACAGGTCGTTTGAGCCTACTCCAGATCATGTGTTTACATTCTTTAATCATCTTGCTTTTCTCTCCTTAAACAGCTGTACTCATGAACATCCAGCCCTTGAAAGTCGTTCTGATATTTTGTCGATTTTTTCCATTGCAGCATTTTTTCTCTAACAAAATCAAGTGATGGAGGTTCTCAAACTTAGGCTACGTCCACACGTACATGGGTATTTTTGAAAACTGAGATTTTCTGTTTTCGTTTTAAAAAAATAATCCCGTCCACACGTAAACGCAAAAATGAAGGAAACGCTGCTAGGAACATGCCAAAGCAACAGGTGGCGATATATTCCTAACCGTGTAGGATGTTGGCCAATCAGAAGTCTAGAAGCCTCGGTGGGCGATAGTAAACAAAGATGGCGCATAGAAGCAGAACCGAGTCCTATGTGTGGAGGGACAGTAACTGTTTTTGTATGTGTAAGCATTTAAACACTGCAGAGAGTAAAATTAACAGTAACAGTCTCCCCCATTGTAGAAATTCATTTCACCGAAACAATAACGTGGCGCACAGTGTGACATCAAAAAAGGCGCACACCTTTGACGCTGCGTTTTCTGTGTTTTCCTCGTCCACACGTAAATGCAAAAACTGAGTTTTTGAAAATATCCACCCTGGTAGGCGTTTTTAAAAATCTCAGTTTTCAGTGACCGAAAACGCCGTTTACATGTGGACGAAAAGTGCAAACGCATAGAAAAATCTCCGTTTTCAAAAATACCCGGGTACGTAGCCCAGATAGATTTGAAAACGGCATTTTCGTCTGAAAACGCTCCGTGTCCACACTGGCGTTTTCAGTCGTTTTCACAGTTGTGCCTGAAACAGCCAAAAACGCTTAAAGTTCCAGTACTGCGCATGTGTGAAACGCAAGAAGATTCGGCCTGCCTCATTTCTGTCTGCTGTTTATTTACTTTCCGGCTCTTTGAAACGTCATGGCAAAATGTTGAAAGAAAAGCAACAAGTTTTTTAAATGGACTAACAATGAGGTGGAGTTGTTGCTGCCAGTAACACAAAAGCACAAAGTTGCAAAAGCGATTGAGAGAATTTGAAGAAAAGCTATCTGGAGCATGCTGCTATTAATCTTTAATAGGGCTGTCAAAATTGAGAGCAAGCAAAACTGCTGTATAATGCCCTTCGCTATCTTTGTTTAATTGGTCACATGACTGCATCACATGACTAACATGCGTCATCGTTTTCGATGTCTCGAAAATCAAATGTATGCGTTTTCGAGAGCGTTTTGAGAACGATGCGTTTTCCTTCGGGAAAAACGCAGTTTCAGTGTGGACGGGAGGCCAAAACGGAGAGAAAACGATGCATTTTTGAACAAAAACGCATTAGTGTGGATGTAGCCTTAGATTATAAGGAGCATGAGGCAATTTGAATTTTGGGTGTCAGGAGTGATTTGTGACACCAAGTGTGAAAGGTTTACAGGACGGCAGTGACATTTGCTATGATTCATGGTTTAGAGACAGAAGGATACTGACAAAGAGACAAAGAACTGAACTGGAGATGCCGGAGTTGCAGGTGCTCATTTAATTCTAAGTGACCATAATATATGTATATGAGAGCATCGAGGAACTTGGAGATGAAGTTAGAGAGGCAAGGCTGAGATGGTTTGAACATATGAAGAGGAGGGATAACGGATGTATTGGACAGGGGATATTGAATATGGAGCTGTCAGGCAGGAGGAAAAGAGGAAGACCAAAGAAAAAAATAATGAATATAGTGAAGGAGGAAATACAGAGGACGGTGTGAAAGAGAAGGATGTTGGGTATAAGGGGTAGATGACCCGCAGTGGTGACCTCTAAATTGAGCAGGAACAAGACTTTCTTGTTTCTTTTTAAGATAAAATAAAAATACATACTGCATTTGTGTTTGATCTCCTTTATTTTTTACTTTAAACGGTTGGGGTTCCTATTTACTTGATGACATAGCTGTGGTGATTGTTGACCAAATAAACCAAACAAACAAACAAACAAACAAGTTTCACCCAATAAAACTCTTCCTCTAACAGAAGTGTTATGTCTGAGTAAGTAGGGCAGTCTTTCTGGAAATATGTGTTGATGTTGAATTTTTAATGTCGTTTTTCATTGCTGTGAGCACAAGTGAAGTTCCATTCATCTCCACTGAGGGAGCAGAAGCCTTTAACTAATAAACTGTAGCTGGGTATCACTGGTATTAAAAACATGGTCTCCTGTCAAGTATACCAATGCAAATGTTTGTGTGTTTGCTTGCGTGAGCTTGCATGTGTGTGGGTGGCTGAATGTGGGTGACCTGCACAACATGCGCACTATGATTAACACTGAGGAAGGCTGATGCATAAAAAGTGCATCAAGTTTAGCAAAAAAAACCTGCACAAACAAAATCTTTTGGGGCATGTTCTCTCTTGTTCCCCCCCCCCGTATAATAGAGTTGGACAGGTCTGTTAGTCCTTCCATGCAGGGTCTCAGTTAAATGGGGGTATTACATAACCAACCGGCGTAGGAGTGGAAGGTTGCAGTAAGGACAAGGTTGTTAGTCAGAGCAGCTCTGCCTGCCTGAGATGTGCCTGCTTGAGCTAGAAGCGCTTCCACTCAAAACCAACATCAAAAGACAATATTTTTTACCCAGAAGGCTTTTCATGTGATCCATTTTAAACTCAAACCGTGCAGTTTGTTGCACATACATTTACCAGTATAAAAAAACTTTATAATAATTTTCTGTGAAAAGTAATAGATTGAATGCTAAATGATGCAACATTAAAAGAATAAGATTTGAAATCTAGCGAAGATCAAAGCCTCTGATATTTTCATGAAAGCCTTTCTTACTTGACTTCAGGCACGCTCGAGACTTCTGTATGCCATATTTCATAAAACAAATTATAGATTTCTGCCATGAAGTTGCAAAGCAGCAAATCAAAATAGAATCAAAGCAGACAAAGACGTGCAATCATTTCTTTTTCATCTCCTCTAATGTAATTTTTCACTCTCAAATCACACCTGAAACAATTGTGATTCTGAAGGAAGTTTCCCACCTCCGTGTCTCCAAATCACATACAAACACATCGAGTGCTGTGTGCAGATACCTGACAGATAAAACCGGTGGAGGTGCACTGTCGGACCCAGAGGCTGAACTTCCTCTTCTTTCTCTTCCTCAGCTCTCTTTCTGTACAAGTGGCGATGAACACTGGGTCCTCATCTATCAAGGGCTCATGAAGAACCTGAAACATGGGTCTAAGTGAATTTTTACATACATACATTGCATAGCCTCATCAAAAGCAACAAGGTGCTAATAAACATAACTAGTTTTCCCTTGTGAGGCTTCCTGTGTGAGAGATAAGAATGAGATTGTGTATGATTTAATACCACACCAAGAGTTTAAAGAGAGAAGGCGGCCAACTGAAGATTCTCGCAAGTCCTGTATGTGTTTGAGTGTGATAGTAAAAAAACAAAAACACTTTGTCAGCAGAAACATGTTCTCACTCGTGCAGCTCTGTTTGCAAACCCCCCCCAAAAAAATAACTTCTGCCTTGTCACTTTCACTTCATTTTGATGTTTCATCTTCACGTTGTCCATACCTTTTACATTTATGCATTATAACTTCCTTCTCTGTGCCTGGATTCATCCAAACAGTGGAAGCCTTTTTATATTTAGTTTTCTTTTTAGCATGGATGATTCTCCATTCAAATGAAAATAGACAAAAATATATAAAAAATAAAATCCCCAAATAAATAAGATGTGACTAACTTTTTCTCGGAGTGGCAAAAATAGAGAGAGAGAGAAAAAAAAAGATGTGTTCATTCGTATAAGAAGAGAATTCAGGGTGCCCTTAGAAACACAATTTAACACACACAAAAAAAAGAGTAAAATATACTCATTACTCATAAGTTCTTTAACTAAAACTGATTTTCTTTGCTTTCTATGACAATAAGCTGAATAAATTTGCATTCTGGACAGCTGTCAGAATTGGGTTTGATATGAAATGTACAGTTGTTACAAACTGATTTTTATTTGTATGTTCTATATTATTTCCCCTAAGCCCACAGTCATTAAATACTAGGATGAATGTGCAAGTCTCCCCCCCTTATTTTCCTAAATACTTGGATGAGTCATATCAGATACTGAAAAGGAATTTCCAAACGGTGAACGAGAAACAAAGAAAGTATTTTAAAAGCCAACAGTCATAAATCCAAAGATACACATTGGTTTTGATACTCGGCAAATATTTGCATTTTAAATTTCTCAGGGCTCTCCCTTCCTCCGGTGTTTTCCCTGCCTCTTCTTCCCACCCAGCCCATCGTGATTTGACTAACCGAGTGGCGACCAGCACCTCCGCGCTGCTCTAGCAACAAGTCATTTTCCAGTCAAATATGGAATCACGGAGTCATAAAAGTTAAAAATAAATGAGGCCATCTAGACTTCGGATGGATGATGTCACCCAGACCACAACAGCTAAGAAATAATTCATGTTGTAGCTGCGGCACAGCTGCACAGTGACGTCTTCTCTCATCTTATTACAGCTGAAACCAAAGAGATTACATTTAAACAAAATATGTTTGAAGTAAATCATTTGTCTGAGAAAATAAAACCATTCATTTGTTCACCGTCTTCGAGTGAATGTCTTCTAATGGCTTTCTGAATAATTATTTTACACTTGCAAATCAATACAGCAGCAATAAAGCAGTCCAGACATGATCTGAGCAACTGCAAAACTAACTCCAGCACAGACCTAATGGACATAGAATATGTGACGCATCACTGTTAGGAGTATCTCGAGGGACATGCTAGAGTTTATTAGAGAAAAAAAACAGAGTGCATTTTTCTCCCATAATTCTTCTCTACATGATTAGCTGTTAGATGCAAACTATGACTATTTTCAATATTGCATTGCTAAGTCCCCCCTGAAATGAAATGGGTCTCTTGATTTGTTCTCCTGGAGAGCTGAACAATGACTGTTTCCCCACTGTTGGAGTTGCACTATATTCAATTTAGTCTAGTTCAATTTTATTCATGCAGCAGCAGTTCACAACAGCTGTCACCTTGAGGGCCTTACTCCATACTTACTGGAGAGGCAGCTCAAGGACTGCGTGGAGCCCGACAACAGCAACAATGCCAATCTGTAGGCGTCTTCTTAACCACTGGTTGAGAGCCTGGTTCTGCTGAGGCCTCTTCCTGTCAAAAGGGAGTTCTTCCTTCCTACTGTCACCCACTGGGATCGTCTGATTGTTGGAAATTTCTCTTGAGTATTTTGTAGGGTTTTTACCTTGCAATATACAACCCCTTGAAGGTACTGCTGAAATAAAACCGAACTGAAAGGATCGAGCTACCAGGCTAACAGCAACATAAATAAAAAATAAAATACTTAAATACAGCCCATTTAAAACCATTATTATCTGCCATTCAGACTTCAACAACTACACTTGTTTCTTTCCCTCTTTCTCAGAAGGCAGTCATTTATTGAGAAGATTGCTTTTCCCTTGCCAGTGGAGCTACAGTTTCAGACAGTCTGTATTTTCTAGTCCACTCTGAGAGACTATCGGGAGCAGAAAATACAGAAAATGAACTGATAAAACAAACTGGCCTAGATTCACACAAACCCCGTCACTGCCAACGACACTCACTTGCTGACCTCACTGGCTCAGTTTTGTCATTTTTAGATCTAAGTGTTTAGAGCTCTTTAGCATGAAAACACACTTCACCCAACCAGCGATTATGCTGCAATGAAATAAAGTGTAAAATATTGATATTTAAACTATTTAGAGGGTAGAATTGCACAGATGAATTAGATGTGGATGATATATGAGGAGGGCATTGCTTTTAAGTGCCTGTGTTCCCAAATGCTCCCATCACAGAACTGACATC